TTACTCCTGGTGAAGGAGCATAGGCCGCTCACCAGCATTCTCCATCTAACCCTGTCCTGGGAAATCCTTTCCAGTTCTTATTCATCCTTTTCATATCTGATTCTAGTTCCCGACGCAATATGTTCTTTGACCTTCCTCTTTTCCGCTTCCCTTCACGATTCCGAGTCTCGTGATGCAGTTTGATGATTTCCTCAACGAGTGTCCATCGTCTTCTCCTAATTTACTCTTCAGCTGGAAGCTGGCTTGTTCACTCCCACAGAAGGCTGTTGCTGTTGGTATCCAGCCAATGGATGTTGAGTATCTTGCGTAGACAACTATTTATAAATACCTGTAAATTCTTGATGATGGTTGCAGCAGTTCTCCAACTTTCAACTCCGTACAGTGGAACTGCCTTGACGTTCGTATCGAAGATTCTCACCTTGATATTGGTTGAAAGTTGTCTTGAGTTCCAAATGTTCTTCAATTATAGGAATGTGGCCATTGCTTTGCCAATCCTCGCCTTTATGTCTGCATCTGATTCTCCTTGTCCATCGATGATGCTTCCCAGGCACGTGAACGATTCTACATCTTCCAGAGTTTCGCCATCAGGTATGATTGGATTGGTGTTCCCCGTGTTGTATTTGAGGACCTCGGTCTTCCCCTTGTGTATGTTGGGGCCTACTGATGCAGAGACTGCTGCTACACTGGCTGTCTTCAACTGCATTTGTTCTTGTGTATGGGATAGGAGGGCTAGGTCATCTGTGAAATCCAAATCGTCTAATTGGTCCTGAGCTGTCCATTGTATTCCGTGTTGTCCCTCAGATCTCGAGGTCTTCATAATCCAGTCGACCACTAGAAGAAAGAGGAACGGCGAGAGTAGACAACCTTGTCTTATTCCGGTCCTTAATTGGAATGCATCTGTCAGCTGTTCTCCATGCACGACTTTGCACTGTAGTCCGTTGTATGAGTTCCGAATAATGCTGACAATCTTCTCAGGAACTCCATAATGTCGGAGAAGTTTCCATAATGTTCTCCTATCCACGATATCAAACGCCTTTTCATAATCGATGAAGTTGATGTATAGTGACGAGTTCCACTCAACTGATTGTTCGACGATGATCCGCAGTGTCGCAATTCGGTCTGTGCACGACCGAGCCTAACGGAATCCAGCTTGTTGATCTTGAAGTTGGGCGTCTACTGCGTCTTTCATCCGGTTCAGTAACACTGTGTTAAAGGATTTCCCGGGTACTGACAGTAATGTGATGACTCTGTAGTTTTCACATTTGCTCGGATCTCCTTTCTTTGAAATTTTGATGAGGTGTCCTTCTTTTCAGTCAATCGGCACTTGTTCCTCCTCCCAAATCTTCTTGAATAGAAGGTGAAGCATATTTGTAGTTGCTTCGATGTCTGACTTTAGTGCTTCAGCTGGTATATTGTCGGGTCCTGCTGCTTTCCCGCTCTTGATTTTTCTGATGGCCATTCTGATTTCTTCCGTCATTGGTGGATTGACATCTATAGGAAGATCTGTGTGTGGTGCTACGATGTCCGGTGGATTCATTGGAGCCGGCCTATTCAGGAGTTCCTCGAAGTACTCTACCCATCTGTTCCGCTGGTCTTGAATTTCAGTGATTGGCCTGGCTTCTTTGTCCTTGACCGGTCTCTCTGGTCTACTATATTTCCTTGCTAGTTTCTTTGTTGTATCATAAAGCTGTTTCATATTTCCTTTTGTTGCAGCTTTCTCCGCCGTCGTTGCTACTTCTTCCACGTATTTCTGCTTGTCGGTTTTAATGCTCTTCCTCACTTGCTTGTTTGCTTCTATGTACTCAGTTTGTGCTTGGATTTTTTCTGCTTGTGTTCGGCTGTTGTTAATTGCTGTCTTCTTGTTCTTCTTTTCTTTGATCCTGTCCAGTGTTTCTATAGAGATCCATTCCTCATGATGATGCTTCTTGAGGCCCAGAACCTCTTGACACGTTGAAGTTAATGCTTCTTTGATACCTTTCCAGTTGTCCTTCATAGCAGTTTCTTCTTCCTTCAGTAGATCCTGTAAGGCTTGGAACCTGTTGTTGAAAGCTATCTTGAATTTATTAGAAGGCTGTATTGAGCTTTTGCAGTGCTGTTTGTTCAGTTCTTCTTTAGCTTCAGTTTTAAATTGGCCACAACAAGGTGGTGATCTGAAGCTATGTAAGCTCCTCTCCTGCTTCTCACATCTTCCATTGCTCTTCGGAACTTTTTATTGATGCAAATATGATCTATCTGGTTCTCTGTGGTGCGGTCCGATGAGATCCATGTAGCTTTGTGTATACATTTGTGTGGAAATATTGTGCCGCCTATGACCAATTTGTTGGATGCACATAGATTTGCAAATCTTTCCCCATTTTCGTTTCTCTCTACCAGTCCATGTCGTCCCATGATATCTTCATATCCAGTGTTGTCTATTCCGACTTTGGCGTTTAGACCTCCCATCAGAATGGTGAGGTAAAACTGATCTTTGTCCTCGTCATTGCTATCATTGGTGGGTGCATAACATTGGATAACATTCATTGTAATTCCCTCCTTCTTTGTTTTGAATGACACTTTGATTATTCTGGATCCGTGAGATTCCCATCCTACAGCATTAGAACAACTCCCTGAGTGTGTGGAGCATTTTCCTATTCGTGACCGAAGTATAGCAGCGCCTTTCCCGTATCTAGCCTTTGCTAACCAGCTTAGGTTCAATGGGTATCGCTGATTCCCAGTACTGCCAATTCGTATCTCCTCATTTCCGTTGCTATTTGACTGGTCTTCCCGGTCTCCCACATTGTCTGGACGTTCCATGTACCTAAATAAATGGTTGATCTGGTTGTTAGAAGTTGCATCGGCCTCGTGACTTCCGAAGGAACTCGGCTTTCACCATGAGGCGTCATAGTTGTTCTAAATGAAGACCTTCTGACTCCCAGGGTTGAGTTTAAGTGGTTTGAATTATGTTTTTTGGTTAGCGTTTCTTTAGAGAGCTAGCTTTCTACGGGATGGGGTCGCTAACCCCATCCAAAACTCTCCTGCTTTATCCGGGCTTGGGACCGACAGTAACTTTAGAAGAGCTACAGGCGGAGTTGAACGTTCAGTACGGTATTATTTTTAAAAAATCTCAATACAATTGTCTGGTCAAGTTGCGAATTTTTAAATTATCTCAATAAAATTCACAAATTCACCAGTGGTATATAGATAGTAGAGTGAAAAGGACTTTATCAGAGTAAATGGAATGAGTTTATCTGTAGGTATTTTCTTCTCCGAGCTGAATGGTTTAAACGCGAAGCTTTCATTGTCTTTCTCGATAACATCATCAGGATTTACTTCATTAAAGCGTGATTTGAGTTTTGTTGGGAACAATTAAGTTCTTCTGTAGTTCCGAAATTATAATGTTCAGCAAAATTAAATAGAACATAATAATCATATTTCCGTAAGTGACTGAATTAGAGACAACATTCTATAATTTTGATGAGAAGTTCCAAGTGATGGACTTAAAGCATATCTAATCTGAGGAAGATTGATCAATAACGATGGATGGTTTTTGTTTTGGTTATAAATCGACAACATTTAAGGATGTAGGCTTCCAACTCAGCAGTGTAAGTGGGTTTATGGGATTTGTAGAAATTGTTGAATTTTATAGTTTGCTTGACGGGAATACCTTGTTTAAATAACAGCTGAAAATCAGGAAGGAGTGGAAAGTTGTTTCGTCCTAAAATTAGACATCTCAGCGACTCACAATTTGAACTTTGCACGAGATCAAACACATGGATCTGAAATCTCACAGTAAAAGCTTGAAAATAAGACCATTGTCTTGGTAATCACTGATTTGTATGTTTAACTCCAACCCAAACTCTTCCCAATACCACTAGTGCGTAACTGCCACATATCCAACAGTATTGAATTTTAATAGTCGTGAGTTCTCGCTAGTCAAGAGTCAACTCTTTAAATTCCACCATTGGCAGTATCAAGGATGTGTGTTCCGAACATATCAGTGCTAAGAACAAGCAGTAATCTCGCGCTTCAGGATTTTCAACAGCTTGTGAGCTAAATTCAGTCCATGACGAAAATTCTACTGAGAAGTTTGCTTTGAATTCAAAGCCCCAAATACCCTGGTACGGTCAATGGTGGGAAGAATCTTCTCTCGAAGTGCTCTCACATGGCCTCGCGTATACAGCTACCGACAAGTAAGTCCTGCTCACTGCCATCTCGACGTGTATCCCTATCCTTCTGAACTCTTGGGGATCTGTTTAGCCGAACAGCACATAGGCGACTGTCAATAGGGATCCATTCTAAAAGGGCTTCTTCTGACCTCATACTTAGTGCTATGCCTTTACCCGCCAGTGCACGAGAACTTGCTGCCTAGTCGCCAGATAAACGGAGTGTAAATCTTGTCGGCTTTTCGTTTTAATTAGAATGAACACACTAGGATCCTGTGTGTTTCGGTGACTTAACAAGTCTCTTTATAAATCAAACAAATTCTACCAAAACCTGTCTTAATATTTTTCACATCAAAAAATAATTTGATTAGAAATGTAGTTAAAAACACCACGAATGTGCGTCACCTCTGGATGTCGTGTGACATAAGCGTGTGAGTTGCAAACGTTAAATAGTAGTATATGAGGTTTGACTTAAGCATGAGATCTAGAACCAGTCTGAGAGATTCTAGTAATAACATTTCCATTAAATCCGAAGGTTTTAAAGTGATACAAAGAACTAAGTTCATTCTCAAGAGCATTGTGTTAGTACTAGATTGGCATAGACAAATGATGGAACTGATACTAACTGAGATTCAACTAGGTATCGGCCCCAACAAGAAAAAAGAACTAAATATAACTGACGTTGTGGAAGCTGATAAAATTCTGATAATGAGGTACATTGACAACACACACATATATAACCTCTTAATACTTTTTTTATTTGTATCAAATCTAAACTGTACATTATGATTTCAATAAATTACAGTAATAAAATTGTCAACCATTGACAATTATACATAAAGCAATGTAGATTCGTTGATTTTAAATAGTTTAGTGGGAAATTTAAGAAAAGAACTTGAAGACAAACAGTTAGTTAGAGAACGATAAAGAAATTAAGATTTAAAAATTAAAATTCTTTTGGTGGAATCAACACATCAAGAGCAGTGTTTGTGCGTCTTTTCGATAATTTCTTTTTTGTTACTAAAGCTTCACTAGGTCTCGGTAATGTGCTTATATCATTGTTTTTTTTGTAAGAAACTTTTCGTCGTAACTTCTCTTCCGCTTCCCGTACACCTAAAACTTCTTTGATAGTAAACATTTTACGTTCAAAGTGTATATTTTGCTTTTTTGCCTCGATTCGGCCAGGTTTTGATCTACCTTTTCGTTTATTTCGTTTAATAGCAGGTGTATCGACTTTGGGAACTTGTCCAAGCTAAAATTGACAGTAAAAGATTACATATATCAGTGAATTATAATGATCGTGATCAAGAAACCAGATAAGTTTTTATGGAAGTGAAAATGATAATAGGCATACAACTTTTACTATAAACTAGTAAATTCTAACGCTTCTTCAACCAGTTGGATTTTAAAATAACTTCGAATTTGATTACTAGAAACCAACGATTACAAACTTCAGTATGTCTGACAGCAAAAGAACTATGAACATGGACAACTGATACATGTCCATGCTGAATTGATTTCTCCCACTACAATTTGGGTGTCCATTATTTAATTTATTTGTGTCAACAGCAAGATAAACACTTGCTTATTGAATGGAGACTGCTAGATGACAATTCACTCTGTAATTCGTTATTCTTGTGGTAAATTGACTTTAAAAGTAGGAGAAATGAGTTGACGGTCAAATGTCGCTAAAGCGTTGTTTAATTATGGTGAAACCATTGAATAAATGATGCCGATAGTCAGTGTAGAATACTAGGTGTAAGCCTTTATCGATTAAAGTGGGTAGGAAACATGTTAAACGAGCGTAATCGCCACTTATCACAGTGCACAACGTCAGCTGGGAAAGCAGTAAATTAGGACAGAAACAATAAAAACATATTATAACTAATATAACTGATAATTTACCATCATAATAGAAAGCTAAAATCTACAAAAGTGAAAATTGCTATCTACTTTTTTAGTTACCAAAGAAACATTTTCGATCAAATAAATAAATAAAAGCAATTAAAATAAAGCAGATTAACTTACTAATACAGCTTTCTTTTTTTCCCATTCTTCTAAAAGGTCTTCACGACGAACTTCACCAACGATTGATTTTAATGAAATCATTGTATATGGAATCTGTTTGTAATAGTACAGTAAGTAGTTTTTTAATGATTCTATTACGTGAAACACATGTGAGTCTGTGAAAAGTTATAATCAATGATTGTTTTACTGATTAAGATACTATCCTGCTTAAAAAAACTTTTATTGACTATTTATAGGGATTGGTGTAGTGTTACGATAAGATGTCATTAGTTGGAATTAAGTTGATGATCATTCGATTGACGTCACCATTTTGAAACATCGACTTCGGTGCCTTGAACATGTACTAAAAATGTCGCCCCAGTAAATTACACGTCAGGCATTATATGCCGACGCTGAAACTGGTTAGAAAAAGAGCAGAGGTAGTCAGTAGTATGAAAGGAAGCTGTAAAGGACTGATATCTGTCGGTTCTTCAAGACTCCCTAATTGAGGTCATATAGTGCGACACAGTGGTTTGAGATATTATCAAATATTACTTAGAATAGAAGCTAGTGGTAGTCCTGCTGTAATTTTCTTTTATTCCCTCCAAGTGAGGGGAACTTCTATAACCGAAAGTATCCTACCTGGTTATACTTCTCTTAACTGAACTGCTTCTCCCCTTATTATTATTATTATTATTATTATTATTATTATTATTATTATTATTATTATTATTATTAATTCACTTTCGTACACTAATTTCTATTCATTTTCATTTTTTTTCCATTACATTCGCCTTCCTTTTTTATAACTCAACACAATCTAATTTTTATTGTGGTGCATTTATATTTTAGTCTCCCTTTGTGCCAATGTTTATGCACTCAAATAAAATAAAAACGTTTTTTATGTAATATCTAGATATTAAATAGTAGTTCCCAAACCTGTGCCTACTTGTGGAGTATGTAAACAGTCCGATTGGTATCAACATGTGAAAATTCCTACCAAACTTACTCAGAAATATTTATTCTATTAAAGTTAGTCTATAAATCGAATTACTCTACGGATATTAACCTCATAGTTGAAACCAGTTTTTGATTTAATATGATAATAGCTTCCACAACAATACGGATTAGATTGTAAGGTACCAAAAAAAACAAGTAGAAGCATATTAGTCTTATCTATGATTAGATAGCGATATACCCAGAATAAACCAATCATCAATAATTTGGAAATATAAAAATCATTAGGACCTTTAAGTAGTCCTTGGATTCTTTTAAGTTATTTGTATTGCATCGGTTTACAGTAACTAAATTCCTTACACGAAATGTAAAGAATTTTTACTTGGTAATCCCTACATTTACTATCATCACCATTATTTCAATGCTTGTTTTCGATATTCCGATATGCAATCACTTCTTTTTTGAATATTATAGTAACATATCTTTATTACACATGAACACATTCATTAGCAATTTACACACAATTGAATTAAAAAAGAAATGATAAGAATAAGAAAGCTTATATAAATGATATTAGTGTAGAATAATTAAGTCGAAGAATTTTACCTCCTTGTGTTTTTCTTTAGTAGGACACTTTAGGGGTCAGTATAATATAATAGGACTATAATTTACTAGAACAATCATAAAATACGCTTATGTCCTACTAACGTTGGTAGATTTAGTAAACAATAGTACTCGATGAAGTTCAATCTCCTGGTAGAAGACGAAATAGGTGGTCGTTGAATTAGTGATACCTCACTAACTCTTCTGGAATCTAAGTACTATTTAATATTTGGCAGATTCTGAATATCTTACCAGAAAGAATTTTAGATTTAGTAGGTTTCTTCGGCAGATGGTTGATAAGGTAATCCTGTGGATTTTCAACTAATGAATACTCTCAAGTTGCTCGTAACCCTTTGATAACATTGCTTTGTGTTGGTAAGTATGTATTCACAGAATTTATTTAATTCAATGGAACCGAACATATTTACAACTAAAGTCTAACTGAATTAAAATTCCAAAACCAGTTTTTAATATTAAGAAATTACATTGAAACAAAGTTTATGAACACACATATATGAAGAATATACTTGAGAAAAACATAGAACTATTAACGAAACTGACAAGTAGATATGAAAACACGTGAACAATATTACCTTATCCAAAAGTCGTTTAACTTCTCTTTCTTGCCTATAACGTTTATTGGCAAAAGGATTTTCTTCTAAACCATCATAATTAGGTTCGGCACTCCCAGGACAAAGAATGGATGAAATCCCAGCGGAACTACCTACTCCTAAAACGTCTTCATAAGGACAAAAGCGTACACGATAAACTGGATGAACCGCATAGTGAGAAAGATAAGCATTCGAAATTACTCGTCGGTTAACATTAGGTGAAATGGTTTCAAAGATTTTTGATGCATTGGACGGTGGAATGGAATGGGGGTCACGTAAAATCTTTTAAAAGTAAAAAGCGATTCACGCAGAAATTAGACAAAAGAAATACATATATACTACCTAAGATTCACAAAGATAAATCCTTATTTTATAGATCATAATACTTCCTCACAGGCAATACTGAAATCATCGTGGGCTTATGTGAAATGGGGAATAAAATAAAACACAACCATCTACTCACGGTAAATATTACTAAGGATAACTTAATTTTATAACAGTAGATTTATTCCTCTTTTCAAAGCACTACTTTGGCCATATCAAATCGTAACAATAAATATTTTGTCTTTTGTCACGGCTTAATAACAGGCAATCACAAACTAGATATACGGTCGTTAGCCATTAGTTCCAGTTTTATATACTCTTTCATATAGACAAAAGGAACAACTTCAGGAAATTAAAAATAAAAACGAGCCCGAGATTTAAACAAAAGCTTAATCCACGTACCTGCATCAATACCCAAAAGAGTTCCAACTGCATGCCATAATTATCTCGTGAACTTTACTTAACGACTCCGCACATCCCGACTACGTTAGGATCTAAAGTCATAACCTCATAGACTGATATTATTTCATGGGCGGTTTGCTCCTACATGGTTCCGGTTTACGTGAGCAATGATTCTAAGACATGTATGACCAAATAATTACAACCTACACAAGTTTTATAACTTCGAAGTAACAAAAGGTAGACGTGTGTGGTGTTCAATGCCCACTACTTGCTTACTCTCTTCTGTTTGACTGGGAAATGATACCGTATAATCCAGATGCGACCCTAATTTTTGGAAGGGGAAGATCGCAACCTACAAACTCCTGTACTGTCACACAGTGCTTTGTTCAGATTATATTTCGTCAGTTTTTACCAGACAAGGAGACGTCTTCATACAAGGTTCTAGGCAAGAGAGCGATCAGGAGAAGAAATTGTTATCCCCAAGAGTATAACCATGACAAACGAATGAAAACAAGGAAAGTAGGCATTTTGCAGTATGGTATGGTATATGGAGAAACAACCACTTGATGCGATAAGTTAAGTACTAAACTAAATCATAACCAGAAATATCATACCTGTACGGTATTAGCAGCACCCAATGCTAATAAACCTTTCTGACTGAAATTAATTGTTGAAGCAGACATAGGCAGCAAGATTTCGGAAAGAGGATCATAAGTGGACCTCAAGTCCCAAATCTTTAGTTTTCGGTCAACTCCACAGGTTGCCAAGTAGCTGGAAAGATGGATGTGAAGAAAGAATAAGCTATGAGCAAATACATCGTTCAAATAGTGAGAAAAATGTAGTTTAGAGGAACACCGGTTGTCGAAATACTTTGTAGAAAAACGGTAATTCATAACCAGTCAATTTTAAACTACACGAAAGTGATTTGGCTAAGGCTAAGTGAGTGGTTTCACCAATCTAACTTTTAATTAAAGACTGTTCAAACAAAGCTTGAACAACAAACGTAGGATTCATAGAGGTTTCTAGATCAGCATAAAAATAAAAAACGCACTACGGATCTCTATAGCTGAGAAAAATAGTATTGGTTCATTGAATTCCTCTACCACTGGCACTAACGATGGTAAATTAGAAAGATAAGCTTGATACGAAAACGCTAATCGGGGTGGTATGCCGTTCGGAATAAAATCAACCGGTCTTTGCAACACAAGTGTTTTGAATTTTACCTTCAGAAAAGGTAACTCTGCTACACATTACAACATACATAGCTTTTGACAATAACCTCAATGTATAAGGATAATTACTACAATAAGTTAGGTAACCAGAAATTGATCTTCATCAAAAGCGGTACCCACAAAACACCCTGTTTTAAACTGGTCAGGTGTTAAGGCTGAGATCGTCTAAATTCATCCACAAAACAATCAACCAAACCTAAAAAGCAGATGCCAATATTATGCTTTACTGTTGAAAACTTGATCGTTTATTAAGATTATGAGGTATTTGTACGAACTAATGATTCCTTTGTACTTGACGGCCAGCTGATTACGAATTCCAAATATGTTAGAGGGACATAGACTGGATTAAAGCATGCTCAATGCATGATTGCTATGGTGCACGCTGATTGGCTAATTCTTATCCAATCAGCACTAGTCGATAGTTGGAGAATACTCTGGAATCTTCTTATGTAAAAACTATAAATATACTGACGTTTTCCCTATTGTGCTTCTGACTTGCTTCTGACTTCCATCTAACCTTGTTATTTGGAATATAATCTATTTCCTGCTCAACCGTGTTTTGATTTGGGGACTTGTCGAGTGAATCGGTGTCCGAGAATGCTAAGCAATCGGAATAGCTGGGTCATAACCGTAAGAAAACAGTTATAACAGTGGCGACGGGAAAAAAGGAAAACAAATTCAAGATGACCATATCAGATGACCAGCTTAACCGAATACTACAACATCAGCAAGCACAACTTGATGCACAAATGCGGTTTTTGGAGACTCTGACTCAACAGCTCAACATCCACAGCTCGAGTTCACATGCTATTTCAAGTACGTCTTGTGATGCAGTTGCTAGCAGCATCTCAGAATTCAAATATGATCCCGAAAGTGGAAATACTTTTCTCACTTGGTTCAAACGTTGGGAAGATACATTTAGAACAGAATTCTGTAACCAAGACGATGCGTGGAAGACCCGATTGTTGGTACGTAAGTTGGGAAGCAGTGAACATGCACGTTTTGCTGACCATATATTGCCAAAGTTACCTCGAGAGCTCAGTTTCGAGGAGACGGTATTTCAGTTGTCAGAGATATTCGGCGAGTCATCCTCGTTGTTTAGTATTCGATATCGGTGTCTAAATTTGGTGAAACGCGAAGCCGATGAATATGGTGTTCTAGCAGACATCGTCAACAGAGAATGTGAACGTTTCAAGTTACGCTCGTTGACTGATGACCAATTTAAATGCTTAATATTCATCAAAGCTCTTCAGTCACCACAAGATGCTGAGATCAGGACTAGACTTTTAGCTCGACTGGATCAAGACCCAAACGTCACACTCAGAACATTGACAGATGAGTGTAAGCGTCTACAAAGCATCAGACACGACGAGTTGATTGAACAGGTAAATCCTAATTTAACCTGCGGTAGTGTCAATGCTATTACTAGGTTAAAAGTTCAGAAGCCGGTAACAACTCGTAACAAACCAAGGACTGCGTGCTGGTTATGCAGTGATTGGCATTATGCCTGATTCCGTCCATTCAAGAAGCATAAATGTCAGGCGTGCAACAAACGTGGACATAAAGAAGGTCATTGTCCACCGAAGCATACGACTCAGCCTAAGAAGAAGCATAAACGTCCTCGACATGTGAAATCAGCCGAGTCTAAATCTCTTTCTCTGGTATCTGCCTTTCAAACAAACTATGACATTCGGAGAAAATATGTTACCATCCAGATAAACGGTATATCAGCTCGTCTTCAAATTGACACGGCATCAGATATCACGTTAGTGTCTAGAGAAACGTATAACTTTCTGGGTAAACCGCCAATGAAACCATCTAAGAAAACTGCTAAAAACGCATCAGGTGGTGTGCTAAAACTGGTTGGTGAATTACAGTGTGAATTTTCCTTCAATGGAACTAACTGTACAGGAATATGTTACCTAACAGAACGGCCAAACCTTGATCTTCTTGGTCTAGATATGTTAGACAAACTTAGAATAATGGATGTACCAATTAACAGTGTCTGTAACGTATCGCGTTCATCATTGGACACCCCAGTACTTCCAAAGAAGACAGGTGATAGGTTACTAGGAAAACCGAAAAGAAAAATACGAACACATTTCGATGTCATCCGTCCTACGCCAGCTATTGAACCTCAACGAAACCTATCGATGGAGAATCAGTTCAACCGACATCATGGGGCACAAGGACGATTGTTCACGGTGGGACAAAAAGTACTTGCTATGGACTGTCGTGGGAAACATCCTACATGGACAGCTGGTCGGATCTTGAGAAAGAAGGGGAGTGTGGTTTACGAGGTGTCAGTTGGCTCGGAAGTTTGGGTACGTCATGCTAAGCAATTGAAAGCAACTTCGATAGCCAGCAACAACATTCAATATCGATTACCTCTTGATGTTCTGCTAGACACCTTTGAAATCAAAACACCGGGAATAGAAACGTCAGTTTCTGTGCAAGAAAAGAGTGATACTTCTCTATTGCCTAGACGATGGACTAATCAAAAGCACAAGCCAGTCATTCAGTTGCAGTTGGACCCTAGCACCAGATCCTACGAATCTGCTCAAAGGGGAGGTGTTAGCGGGACATAGACTGGATTAAAGCATGCTCAATGCATGATTGCTATGGTGCACGCTGATTGGCTAATTCTTATCCAATCAGCACTAGTCGATAGTTGGAGAATACTCTGGAATCTTCTTATGTAAAAACTATAAATATACTGACGTTTTCCCTATTGTGCTTCTGACTTGCTTCTGACTTCCATCTAACCTTGTTATTTGGAATATAATCTATTTCCTGCTCAACCGTGTTTTGATTTGGGGACTTGTCGAGTGAATCGGTGTCCGAGAATGCTAAGCAATCGGAATAGCTGGGTCATAACCGTAAGAAAACAGTTATAACAGTGGCGACGGGAAAAACGGAAAACAAATTCAAGATGACCATATCAGATGACCAGCTTAACCGAATACTACAACATCAGCAAGCACAACTTGATGCACAAATGCGGTTTTTGGAGACTCTGACTCAACAGCTCAACATCCACAGCTCGAGTTCACATGCTATTTCAAGTACGTCTTGTGATGCAGTTGCTAGCAGCATCTCAGAATTCAAATATGATCCCGAAAGTGGAAATACTTTTCTCACTTGGTTCAAACGTTGGGAAGATACATTTAGAACAGAATTCTGTAACCAAGACGATGCGTGGAAGACCCGATTGTTGGTACGTAAGTTGGGAAGCAGTGAACATGCACGTTTTGCTGACCATATATTGCCAAAGTTACCTCGAGAGCTCAGTTTCGAGGAGACGGTATTTCAGTTGTCAGAGATATTCGGCGAGTCATCCTCGTTGTTTAGTATTCGATATCGGTGTCTAAATTTGGTGAAACGCGAAGCCGATGAATATGGTGTTCTAGCAGACATCGTCAACAGAGAATGTGAACGTTTCAAGTTACGCTCGTTGACTGATGACCAATTTAAATGCTTAATATTCATCAAAGCTCTTCAGTCACCACAAGATGCTGAGATCAGGACTAGACTTTTAGCTCGACTGGATCAAGACCCAAACGTCACACTCAGAACATTGACAGATGAGTGTAAGCGTCTACAAAGCATCAGACACGACGAGTTGATTGAACAGGTAAATCCTAATTTAACCTGCGGTAGTGTCAATGCTATTACTAGGTTAAAAGTTCAGAAGCCGGTAACAACTCGTAACAAACCAAGGACTGCGTGCTGGTTATGCAGTGATTGGCATTATGCCTGATTCCGTCCATTCAAGAAGCATAAATGTCAGGCGTGCAACAAACGTGGACATAAAGAAGGTCATTGTCCACCGAAGCATACGACTCAGCCTAAGAAGAAGCATAAACGTCCTCGACATGTGAAATCAGCCGAGTCTAAATCTCTTTCTCTGGTATCTGCCTTTCAAACAAACTATGACATTCGGAGAAAATATGTTACCATCCAGATAAACGGTATATCAGCTCGTCTTCAAATTGACACGGCATCAGATATCACGTTAGTGTCTAGAGAAACGTATAACTTTCTGGGTAAACCGCCAATGAAACCATCTAAGAAAACTGCTAAAAACGCATCAGGTGGTGTGCTAAAACTGGTTGGTGAATTACAGTGTGAATTTTCCTTCAATGGAACTAACTGTACAGGAATATGTTACCTAACAGAACGGCCAAACCTTGATCTTCTTGGTCTAGATATGTTAGACAAACTTAGAATAATGGATGTACCAATTAACAGTGTCTGTAACGTATCGCGTTCATCATTGGACACCCCAGTACTTCCAAAGAAGACAGGTGATAGGTTACTAGGAAAACCGAAAAGAAAAATACGAACACATTTCGATGTCATCCGTCCTACGCCAGCTATTGAACCTCAACGAAACCTATCGATGGAGAATCAGTTCAACCGACATCATGGGGCACAAGGACGATTGTTCACGGTGGGACAAAAAGTACTTGCTATGGACTGTCGTGGGAAACATCCTACATGGACAGCTGGTCGGATCTTGAGAAAGAAGGGGAGTGT